GAAGCGGAGAGGAATCGGGTTCTCCAGGGACTGCACTAACAATTTTCTGTGCAAGCCCCTGAGCCAAGTAAACAATGGAATCCCACAGTGACCTCCTCGTCTCTTGTGGTAGTGCATCTTTCCGACGTCGTGTCCTCGTGTGAGTACGATGAAGAGAAATTGATGTTGTCCCTCGTCAGGATCAAAACAGGGCGTCAAGCGCAATATAATGAAAATGACATTACTGCTGGCCCGGAAACTTGTCGACACATTGAGCTTCAATTCCTTGGTGTGGTCGCAGGGCCTTTTGTGTACGGGCGTATGGCAACCAGCTGCGGTTCCACTGTGACAGTGTACCCCTTGCAGCAGAGACACCTCACAAACCCAAACCCCCCCCCCCTTTTTTTCGCCTGTGGCACACCCCCCTGTACGTGCTATGGCTCGCTATTGTCCCGCGTCCTGGTCGTCCAATGCAGGAACGCGGAGATTCTGAGCTTTTCAACAATGGGATTGGATCAGTGGTCCGATGCTGTCCGACAGGAAAGTGTGATGCTGTTGTGTTCTCGTGTAAGCAATTTACGAGGGGCAATTTACCTGCGAAAAGCGCAACAATTCCTTCACGAAACAAAGGGAACTGCGGAGGGAGACCCAGAGCTGGCTGGACGGGAAGGTGCAGGGGAAGAGCGCCAAGAGGGAGGTTTTACGGGCAGGTGCCGTAACACAAGAGCACTTCTTTCCTTCTTTCTCTGTTTTCGTTGGAGGGATCCAACCCGATGCAAATTTTTCTCCTTCTCGCGAGTCGCGCTTGTCCTGTACCTTTTTGACAAATGCATCTTTCTTTCGTTTGCTTGGACAAACCAGAGGACGGGGTCTTGTCTTGCCCGAACACGATGGATCTGAACCGTCACGAGTCTCCCTTGGTGAAAGCAACCCCTCTTCTTCTTTTCTTCTGTCAGGCGCGTGGTAACCTTTTCCTGCAGTACGAGAGAACCAAGGCTCCCGCAAGCAACCGGTGCGGAACAGGTCGACGCCGTGGTTCCTGAGACATTGGCACCCCTTCCCGCCTCAAATCCCGTTTCAGCTCGCTGAGAACAAGGTGGTTTGAGCGTGCAACCGACTGCGTGGGTGTTCAAGGGTGTCAATGATGCCGGCCTGATGATCGCCGTCAACCTGACCACCCAAAAACTCGCTTGCAGCTCATACCTACCCTCGCCGGGAACGGATCGGGGCGGGTCCTTATTATCCCTGAAGCTGTGAATCCTGGGGTTGCTTCCTACACCCGACCAGCTACTCGTTCGTGACTCGAGGGGCTCCTGGGTACGGCGTGGTTACTCGGCGGTGCGACCTGAGCTGCCGGTCTTTCTGTCGCCAAGAGAAGAAAAGCATTTGGCATCTAGCTCTTCAGCTGCATTAGTAGCAAGTGTCCTACGCATGCCAAGTAAATTTTGGACTTTTTTTATCACTCAAGGGATTTCTTTTTCTGAATCCAGGTCGGGATGGAGGCGGAGCCCAGCAAGCTGGGAGCTTTGGGAAGAGGGAGCCAAACACAGGGCGAAAAAGAGCTTCAACATTCCTTTTCGAACTTTCCCAGACGAATCGGTTCCCGTCATGGTGGTAATCGTCTACCCTGTCCAAAGGTAGGGATCGTACCCATCTGTCTCGCCTTGTCCGGAATTGTTCCGGCTTTGTGTTACTACCCGATGCTCCCTCGTGGCGCATTTGATCGCCGTGGGTCCTCCCCTTCGAGGTTCTCATACTGACTAGCCCCATGTGTCTCTTGATTCCTTGTTAAGCTCGGCCAGATGTGGGCGTCAACATGTGGCATCGAACACGAACGTCATAAAGTCTCACAAGTGTGAAATGTGCCTGATCGTGTGTGGGCCTCCTTCAGTGTGACAGGTTCCGTCCGCTCTCTTAATACCGTTGTCGAGTAACCCTTATCTTGCTCATGTTTCCCTCTTTGCTCCTCTTGCAAGTCCGTTCCTCGTTTGTGTTACTCGACTGCTTCGTTATTGACTGCTGGACAGCGGCAACGGGACATCAACACTCGCTCTGGTAACAAGTGGCTGGGTCGTGCTTTGGAAATCAAGAACTTTGGACGTCGAGCTTGCTCGGCTTGGTACTCGGAGATGGACAGCCGGGATATACTCGGCCTCGGCATGGCGTTGCCTCCGCCCCCCCTTCCGACGAAAGATCTTACTACTAAGGAACCTTTCAGGACTTCTTCTACTACAAGTTCGCCGACAATAATCCCTCTTACAACCACGTCGCCACCACCAAACAGACCACTGCCACCAACACCAAGCTCAAAGAAGGGTACAGCACATAGCCGATCTGGATCAATGTCAAGCACGTTTAGCTCTCCGAGAAGTCCGCCGCCGACTCGCCCACCACCCTTAAAATCGCAAGCTTCGCTGACCACGATCTCGGAAACACGACAGGAAACGGCGGCATCACTGGGGAAGAGATCTGGGCATTCAAGACTGCACACGCAATCTTCGTGGACATCTCTAGCTTCAACCACGAGGAATATAAAATATGGGCGAGGCAAGCACAGTGGCGTTGAGTTGGTACCGCAACCAAGCGATAATCCTGAAGACCCATTGGTAAGTTCATTTCTGCCACTCATTATTCAAGTCCACCAGCTCACGTTTTCAGAACTGGCCCCGCTGGCGTAAGGAATCCAGCTTTTATGCTCTGCTGCTGATGGTAGCTTTAATTGGGGTTATGAAGACAGCCTTCATCAGTGTAAATGTTCAGGCAGCTGATTGGTATCGTGTATCATACACTGCCGCCGCGGCTTTGACCGGTGTTCCCTTGATTATATCCGCCTTTACTGGGCTCGTCAGTTTGGTGACGTCGAGGATATGCGGCAAAAGACCGCTATACCTCATCTCATTACTATTGTTATTCATTGGTACCATATGGAACACCAGCGTGAGAACCAGTTACAGCCAATGCCTGGCCGCAAGGGTTTTTCAAGGTCTGGGATGGGGTGCATTTGATACCCTGGTCCAAAGTTCCATTTACGACCTGTTCTTTGTAAGTTCAATCCGACTCTTCGTTGAGTTTATCATGCACACGGCTAACGCTTTCAAGGAACACGAACGTAACCTTCGGGTTTCCATTTACACCATTGTTGCCATCACAACCACATGGGGGCCACCACTGCTTGGTGGGGTATCATCGCGAAGCCAGACTGGGTTCGAGTTGCAGTTCACAATACTCAGCTGCTTTTTTGTCCTCGCCGTGCCGACCATTGCCCTCGGTGTGCCCGAGACAGCATATGACCGCACTTATACACTACCTCAGATTGCTGAGGGTAGTGAAAGTCCCTACAAGGCTTCCATGTGCCAGGGCATTCGACGGGACCGTATCATCGATACCATCAACGACTACATCGTGAAGATGAAACCTTATTCCTACCGTGGATCGGCAAATCTGGTCACTCTACTCCAGGTACCTCGTGCCTTCGTCGCACCCACGACACTTATCCTCTTCTTCACATCCCTCCTACCCTATTCCTCACTATGGGCCTTCAGCTCGTCTCTTTCCCTTCTGTTTCACTCCGCCTATACTACAACCACTATCGGCGTCCTCATGATGGGTCCCTGGCTTCTTGCTACCGCTACAGCAGCCATCCTTACGCTCCTACCGCTCTTCCTGCCTCGACTAAAATCACAGTTCCCCGTCTTGTCCTCTATCCCAACGCAGTTTAGCAACAAGATCAACACGGCCGCCATCACAGCTGGTTCCATCCTTGCTTTCATCGGCGTCCTCGCCTTTGGGCTTCATACAGACGCAGGCATCCACGATGGCAAGATTTTGGGTACGAACCTTCCAGCAATCAGCTTCACTCTCGGTCTCCTCGCAGCCGGGGCGTACGTCCTTGACGCCATCTGTCGCCCCTTGATCCGGTTGAGCACGGCCTCGGTTTCCTCCTCCGATAACCATAATATTGCTACTAGGACCGCAAACGATATGGCAGCCGGCGTGACGTGCTGGAGGACCTTGTTTGCCGGGATTCTCATCATTGCAGTCCCCAGTGGGATCTCAAGTCCGCGTAGCAGCGAGGTTATGTCATCGAGGCATGGACTGAGAGATATGTGTATTGGGTTTGCGGTAGTGCAAATCGTGATTGCCGCTGCAGTGGGGAGTGCTTGGTGGTTCTTCGGTGAGGAGACTATGGCGTGGGATGGAAGGGTGATGAAATTGGGGGGTTCAGGAGCAGCGAGCAAGGAAACGAGTGGGAGGGAGGGGAGCTTCTTTGATACGGACTAACTGGAGGATGACGGACTGGCCTGGATAAAGGAAGGGGGAAATGACTGCGACGAGTATAATGATGAGCATGGGTACGGTACGAGCATTGGACATAGAGGACACTCATTTACGACTCACGGATGGTTTACTGGGCAAGGAAAGGTAAAAGGAAATAGTGTAAACGGTAGAGTATCCTTCTTTCAGGAAAGGAATTTGGGCTAGAGAGCAATTGATCCCAAAGATAGCGCTCGGTAATAGGGCTTGTGTCCTTTGGATAATACTAGCAATATCCTTACCAACATTTTCGTCTTTACGAACAAACAAAAACCGGTGTGTCTAGCTTGTCACTGACGTCCCTTTTGCTACCCGTTGCTCACGAATGATAAACAGGGCCTTGTGACAATTGTGTCTGTAGACAAAAAAGTTCAAATGTTCAGGTCCCAGTTCAACCTATCAATTTTCGCCTTCTAGAAGCCTTGAACTCCCCATGGGAAGAAGCCATGACGGACTCCTGGGGAGGTCAAACGGATGCGGAAACCGGAAGTCAGACGGGAGGACGCGTGGGAGTTAAAACTGGGAGCGGCAGCCAACATATGCCAATTGGTCGATCTTGATGCCCAAGTCGACCGTCTACAGCGATACGATGCGCATTGTGCAAAACTGCAAAACAAACCAACAACGCAAGGGAAGGTCGAGATAGAAAAAAACAAAAAAAGTGTGTACTTGGAAGTGTAAGAGGGACGAAAAAGTCGTAAAAGAAATGGACGAGCTGGGAATCGAACCCAGGACCTTTCGCATGCTCGGAAACATGCTAAGCGAACGCTCTACCAACTGAGCCACACGCCCGATGATTTGTTGTTATTACCGACCGGTGGAAAACAAGAGCTCATAACGCTGTCTTTGGCAGTTGGAGCGCAAATTTGGCCCCCCGGTCTTCCCTTCCCCTCTTTCGTTTTCATTTCCCACCTTCTGCATCGCCAGTCCTCCAGTGACGGCACATTTTCTTGCGCCTTTGTGAAGAACATCATCATGTTATTGGGGCCGGCTTCTAGACTCCTGGAGGTCTACAAAGCTACCCCGCCCACGGCCTGTCAAGTAACAAACAACAACTTGTTCCGCTTGAGGATCCTTCCTCGTTGATGACGCTTGACGGCGACCGTCTCCTGTCGGCCGAATCCTTTCGTTACCCGCAATGGAGGCATACAATTGAAAACTCAACCACGCCGAGCCCAATCCGCCTGATGTCTGTACAATGGGACCGACTTGACAGATAGGGCTCCCAAACTGCCAATCAGCGACTGTCTTTCCTCGTTTGGGGGCATACGACATACCTAGGGCCAACAAGACGGGGGCCTACAAAAGCAACCCCGCCGCTTGTAGGCCTCACTGCCCCAACGGCCTCAAAAATGGGTCTTTCGTTTTGGGGATGTTACTCCTACGGTTATTTCAAGGACAACCGTGGCTGAGCTCGTTATATATCGGGTTGGACGACCTGACCTTGAAAAAGAGATCGGTAACGGCACACATCCACTACCTTCTTTCTTCCCAAAACTCCAAGTTCCTCCTATATCAACGTTGCTTTCAAGAACAACATCACCTCTCATAACACCATGTCAAACCCCAAGCCACCCAGTATGGCGCCCGCCAATTCAAACGGACAGTACCAGCACTTTGTCCCCAGGTTCATTCTCAAGAACTTCGCCCACAGGGTCCCCAAGCCCCCAAAAGCAGCCAAAGGAACGCCAAAGCCCAAATACGAGAAGGGCATGTTTCCGGGAGATCTGGTGACCAGCAGCCTCGACCTGACCCAAGACCCCGCCGTCTTCACCGAGAAGCCCGTTTCCAGGATCTTCGGCCAGATCAACATGTACGATGACTTCACGAAGCCCAACGGGGAGCAAAGACATGTCGAGAAGTTGCTCTCCAAACTGGAGGATCAGGCAGCAACCATCTTCACCAAGATCACAAAGGCATATGAAGCGAACGAGGACGGAGTTGTTCTCACCCGGGACGAGCGAAACGTGATTCGCAAGTTCCTCTTCCTCATGAAGTACCGCAGCGCTCGGTTTCATACCCGCTTTTTCCATGAAAAACCAGAAGCATATTCCGAGAACGACCGGGAAATCCTTCGCGAGTACATGGAAGAACATCCGCAATTCAAAACCCCTATGCAGGTCTGGTTGCACAACATCGAAACAATCATCAACCTTGACATGGACCCGGAGTCGAACTGGATACGAGAGCTTCCCAAGAAGATGTACCAAAACGATGCCATGTGGTTTTTCACCCATGTTCAAGGTTCTTACATGACGTTGTGCGTACCATCTGAAGCGGAGAATGAGTTCATCCTTACGGACAATAGCTACTCGGTGCATGAAGGGCCGAACAATCTTGCCCGGGACGTCAAGTCAAACAAGGAAGAAACCCTTGGGTACGTGGAACTCCATACCTTTGCGCCGGTATCTCCAAAGATCATGGTTGTTCTTCGCTCCGGGATTTTTCCTGATCCACTTGAAGACCAATCTCCTCGAGTCAGAGAGCAGAGGGACTTCCATAGATCTTTGCTTCTGGATCCTTATGGCCATGTCAACGGCATGTTGGCTGATCTGCCTGTACGCAAGGCAGGAAACAGTTACAGCGGGATTGTGAATGGCCGTCTGGTCCTGCAGGAGGGTCATGATGGGCAGAAAAGAAAGGACGACAAGTTCCGCTTTCCCTTCTTCCCGATCGGAAGCCGGTATGTGAACATCATCAACTCAATCTTTCTCGACAATTGTCTACGCTGCACCAGTCTTGTTTACAACTCCAAGCAGGCGTTCGCAAGGACACTGGAGTGGTATTTGACCGCTCCTCCTCTTGAGATTGGGAAGATACTGTTGGGGGAAGATAAGGAGGATCGTCTGAAGACACTCAAGAAGCTGGAAGCGGTGTCACGCTCTCTGGGCTCGCAGAAGGCTGCGTTATGGGCGACGCCTGCCTTTCTACCAACAGTCAAGGATTATGAGAAGATTCGGCTTCGGCACGCGGAACGACAACGCGAATTCAAAAAGGCAGTGGTGAACGACGAGAGAATCCAGGACCCACATGGCGAGGCCTTCCTCAAGTCCATGATGGAACTAAATGCACTGACGCAGGGCTCATTAGAGTCTGTCGCCTCCTACATGGACACCTACGAACAGCTAGGTATGGCACCGAGATGCATGAACTTCAGCACGTCGCTAATGATATCCTGAATCAGGCGGCTCGTATGATACCTTAAAGAAGGATCTTGATCAAGTGGCAAGGATGAAAACCTTGAGGGTAAAGATCGACTCGTGGTCTCGAGGAGTAGACGAGGCGATTCGCCAACGCAATCGAGAGTCACTAGTCAGCGAATATCTTCGCTTGCCCAGTCCGAGATTGTGGTTATATATACAAGCAGAGAGGAACATGATCATGGAGCACGAAGGCATCGACTTGCTCAGTCCGCAAGGAGACCGGCTTGGGATCCCTGAAAATGCAATCGTTCGCGGTAGGTGATGGCAGTCTCACGCTTCAAGTTTACGCAACACTAACAATGCAGCAGCCAAGAAACTGATCAGACCCGACAGACTGAACACCTTAATGTACATGGCCTTCAGGATGGACACCAGGTTTCGCCAACGGGCGCACCTGAACGTTCAAACCGAGTTCGAGCCGTTTATTAAAGGTGAGGAGCAATCAACATTACATACAAACTACCGCCTCATTCTTTGCTAACACGACGTCTTCTTTGTTTACAGGTGCCGGACCTCTGATGACCTGTGGTACGTAAATTCCGCCCCAGAGCTTGACTCCCAATCCCCATAACTCAAAGGCCTATTGTCGCCAATGCAAACCTCAAATGCACACCCGTTTTGAAACGCCCAGTCCTCCATCCATCTCAATCCCAATATACCCAACACCAATCCCGAAACCAAACCGTGACCCCTCCCACCACAATAACGCCAACCAGAAAAGTCCAGACCATCACCCCCTCCCGCTAACAAAACCCCCTTTTAAAACACAGGAATCTCACGAATCGAAGCCCTAGCCAAGTCACCCGACCTTATGGCCTTTGCCATGGTCGCAGCTACCGCCCTCGGGAACACCGATCCCGTCCTGAAGTCTCTAACCGACCCCCTTGAGCGCCTCGAGCTCATCACCCGCTCAATGTGCCGCGATATGTTCGCCGAAATCATGGAACCCGAGCGGATCAAGCACAACCTCAGCCCACAGGTGATACAGAACCTGGGGAAGGTGCTCTTTACGCACGTCTATCCCACACGACCGGAGGAGGAGGAGAAGTCTTAAGCCCACAGACCCAAACCTGCCCTGATGACGATGCCCCACACGCCGCTCTCCTCCACCACCTCTTCCATCCCGCTTCCCAACAACACCCCAGACCACCAAACTACCAATTCCGATCCCGACCCCAACTCAGACGATGGCGATGACGAATACCCATATGCAAACGGAAACGGCGTCGGGCCCGTCACCCCTCCTTGCTGCCCATAGTGATGCTTATGCTGGTCGAATTGGGTGGGAATCTGAATCTGACAAACAGCCGTCGGGCTCTCAGTACAAGCACTAGACACATAGTACGACGTCGTCGTAGTCGCGGCGGTCGCGAGGGTGGTGGCAAAGTTGAGCGGGTTGCCGGGCACGTCTTGGAGGGCGGCGAGGTAGACGAGGATGGGCTTGGAGAGCTTGTTGAGCTGTTGACTCAGTTTGAGCATTTTGGCGATGAGCATCTTTTCTTTGGTTTTTTGTTACGGTATCGTCGTGGGGCTGTGTGTGCCCACGAGCGATCCGTATCTCCGTCCTTTCCGCCTCGGTCTAGTCCGGTTCGGGCTCGGACGATTTCTCTTTTGATGGTCTATTTGGTTGGCTGTTCGTGATCATAGGAATTTGCTTTGCTGCGCTGCAGATGGACGGCAGGTACGTCAGTGATCGTGATGATTGATGAGACTCTCAGGGTTCATGGTTTTGGCGTTGGGGCGCAGCTTATGTTTGTATGTGGTGATGGAGCGTGGGGCCATGGTGCTGGGTCCACATATGGAAAAGAGCAGGTCGGGTCGTGTGATGAAGCGAATGGAGTCATTTAACTAGGCGAAATGTGGCGGGCTGGTGATCATACACAACAGCAGCAATATTCAGGGAATGGCCCGGTGAGACATCTCGGTTCGGTGGATAACAATTATGTTTAAAGCTATTTTTATCGACTGTTTTTTACAGGATGTGGGCTGGAAGACACCAAGACTCCTTCGATGTCATTAAAAGGGCAAGACTTCAACCATCGCCGAAACACAGACTCGTCACTGGATCAACTCCGACATTAAACCTCATCAACCTCCACGTCTCGATCTCTTCGCCTTCCTAAGCGCTTCCCTCGCCCTTGCGCCGCTCCGATCGTTGACCGGCCTTCCATTGTCCATCCCATTTATTCCGCAATCGGCGCCAATACCGGTCCTATCTTCGCCCAGGGCACGCTCCAACTCCTTTTCCGACCTTTCCCTCCTATGCCTTTTCCACTCCCACCACATTGACAGGGCAGTCCATAGTAGCCAAAGCGTCAGCGCGGCAGCGACATATGTTGTTTTGAGCTTCTGGTCTACGTTGTCCATCTCGCTTGCTGTTATTAGGCCCATGTAGCCATTGATCATTCCAACCGTGATGGCAATCTTTCCGATTACGAGGTGAAGGGCTGACCAGAATCCGCGGCGGCGATCTATTTTGTGTTCCTTGTGGTGGAAGGTCCCAACGAGTGGTTGAATGAACAGGAGTGCGAGGACAAAGATGCCGATGACTGGGTGGTAGTTGGTTTTTGCTGTCCTCATCTTGTTCGA